TCGGCGCGACCGCCCGTCCTATTCATCTCATACATCATAATGTTGTCCAACCGGTCGTCCAACTCATCCAACCGTAGATATCGTGACAAGTGTTGCGGTATTCGATGCGATCGTTTCCAACCGCCGCACGAGAACTCGTAGAAGTCATGGCACGGATCCACCGACTGGTCGATCGACGACCGCAACTGTTTGCCGGCGATTCGACACTGAGTTGTGTTACACAGATTTGCCCCTAAAAATAAACCTCACTTATATTAAACATGTCAATTTTATTTATCATTATTATTTTACCATTGATTTCATTGGTTTGATGTGAATAACAAACTCCACAATAAATTAAGATAAATATGTATATCAAGAGATTTGTGAGATATTTAATCCGAAATTTGCTCATTATTTATAACAATCTTAACGCAAACTAATTTATAATTAATAAACTATGCATTTATTGAAAATTATTTTTAGATAATTTAGTTATTTAAAAAAACATATGAACATTATTAATGCTTTACATTTGATAAGGGTAACTTATATGGGTTATAAATATTTTATTAATATTTTCTTAATTAATAAAAACATCATTTTTTCAATAAACAATAGTTTTATTATATATTTTTAAAATTATATCTTATATTAAGTTTTCCGTTATAAAGAATTTTGTAAAATTGTTTATTAGTAATAAATAATTACAATGGACATTAGATTTTAACAGCTGCAATTATAACAGACTTGTTTAATACCCTCATAAATTAATTTTCTATATAAAGTATAGCACTTTACAATATACTTTATATACTTTACAATTTATAATAGTATACAAAAGCTATACAAAATTTGTATCATTTAATGATATAAAAGTGAAATAAGCAACTTTAAAACGTGATAAAAAAATATATAATTTAAATTGAAAATTCAGCAATTTTTATAAAGAAAGCAGCTGTTAAAACCAAGATCTAATTTAAATTAAAAGCAAATTATTAAACAAACATCAAAATAACAGATTAATTAATGGCTTACTTCATACGACCGGTTTCTATTCATAATAAATAATTTCCAACAATAAAAGCCAATACTTTTGTCACTCACTTTCTCCATAAAACAGATTAACTTTAAAAGACATCATTTTAATTTATTTAATTAATAATTTTAACTAAACATGTAATCAGTAAAAAATACCTTAATCTTATGCCCTAATGTCTTGAAAGCATGGCTCCTATAATAAAACATATTATATAACAAACTTTCGGTTTTAATGAGTTGAGTGAATACAGACGAAGCCGTCGACAGTATAAACACCAGAAATATTAAATACAAAAGCATTAAATATAAAAACAAAATCTTATCGATAAATATTAAGCGCCCGAAGAATACGATATATATTTTCAAATTCAAATCAAACATAATTGACAACAGAATCGCAAATATATATTCGGACCAAAAATTGTTATTATATTCCGACACCTCTTTGTGAATATCATTCAACGTCTTTAACAGTTCCCCGATTTTGCCCGACTTTATATACAAACACTTATTACACATCTCTTCACGTATTCTCGCATTCAATCGTTTGGTTTTGAGATTCAAATAAAAGCAAATAATATAGAAATAACTCATTTGAAAGATGAGAAAATTAGTGCAGAAATACACAAAACACATAAATAACAAAATCCAGGGAATTATAAATAAAAACTGAATGCCTTTTGCATTGAAAAGTAGAGGAATTCCGCACACAATTAGCCCACAGGGAAAGGCTGTCCGACGGATATATTGGGAACAATTGAGACAAAATCTTGACGTTTTGACGAGTGTTAGGACATCGGAGCTGTCCGTTAGGCCCACACTCTCTGGCGATACCACACCAGACATCACACGCAATGGCAACAGATATGAGGGCTTAATATTGTGGATATAATACCAAAAGTGAATCAATTGGGAGACGACAGCGATTTCGCCAAAAATTATATTAATAAGTCTTAAGTGATGTTTGATATCATTGCCCACAAAATGCATGTAATCGCCAATCAGTAGATGAAAATCGTTATTTAAATGAGAGAAAAAGGATTCGGTCACACATTTGGCGATATAACCGCTGATCACAACCAAAATAAATACTGAATTATAATATATGGGTTTCTTATGGCAGCCCTCGACGGCAAACAGTGATAATCCATATCTATATAAATCATTTCCAGCGCTTTTTATAATTAAATTTGAATCTAACTTTTTATTTAAATCCAGTTCAGTGAAGGGTTTTATTTTATTTGTCCTCATTTTTCCTAATATTTTCAAATAATATTCAAAATTATTATTGTTTAACAATAAGTTTATTTCTAATTTATTGGTATTTCAGATAATGAGAAGTTATATTACTTGTAAATTAATTAAAATGTTAATAATTAAAATAATAATGTAAATTAATTGCAGTAACAAATTAATTATTATTAACTCAAATGAAATATACAGTAACTTACAATGTAACAAGTACAACTGTCAACTTATAAATAAATACATTGGCGAACATTATGTGATCATTTAATAATGTAGTGTTTGAAAAACCATTAGAAATGTATTACAAAATTCTCTTTAATTTCTATAAATAATACATTTAATTAAATTATAGTTTAAGTGCAAATGATAAAATCAATATATAAATTATTTAATAGGTTGCGAAATTCTGGTACACAATTTAAATGAAGGTGCAATTGTTAATTAGTTCCCCCAATGGTGCTATAATTATTACCACAATTATTATTCCTGTATATTTTATTCAAATAAATCTGTAAAACATAAATACATTTATTTGTATAATTATTAAGTAAATAAATAATTTTTTGCTTTGCATTTAATTAAAGAATTTCTAAATAAAACTCAAACAAAATCCCATTGAAACTAAACCAGAGATCAATTACAAGAGTTTTGATAATTTTAAAGGCAATTCTGATCGCAAGTCATAATAGAGACGATAATTGACACATATTTTGTGATTTTTGTGTCTAAATTATCAAAAGACCACAAAACACATGATTTAGCTTATAATCAAATGACATGTTTTGGCGTTTGGGCCGCAAACCAATCATTTGTAACAAAATTAGTCTTATTTTAGACCATAAACCAAAAGCACTTCCAAAGAATAGCTTATATGACTTATAGTGATCAACAGATCCAGAAGCTCACAATCGGCACCACTTTTAGGATCAAAATGATATAAAAAACACTTTCAAATCAAACAAAAATAATTGTTTGACAAAAAATAAGCCCTAAAAAAGATCAAAGACTACCGAAAAGCAAATGCATTGAATGTATGGATAATTCAGTGATGAATAGAAAGACTCAATAATTATTTCATTTGTTGACAATTTCCTAACCGTTTGTGTCTTTCTTTAAACATGTATTCAAACAAAAGTGACAATAATGTTGTGTCCAGTGGTTTGGCCACCGCTGCGGACAATCAGCTCTTCGCTCAGAATTCCTGCAAACCATTAGCCATTCGTGTGGAGAGATTGAGTGACCATTCAATTGGACGACTCTCGCAACAAATCCGTCGGTCGTGTCATCAGCTGTCCATCAGATCCGTGAACGTGGCGTCTGTGTGGACACAGATGTGCCGACTCGGGAAGCGGCGGACGGCCGAAGAGTTGGACCGCCAGAAGAGTGAACTGATTGAGTGCTTTCTGTCCGTCGGTTGCGACCAAACGGATGCACTTCGGGTTCAACACTTTGGAGCCAAAGGCTATGGCATAGCGGCCACCAAAAGCATGAAAAGGGGCGCATTTGTGTGCGATTACGCCGGCCTTCTCATCGACAACACCACCGCACAGGTAATCACAACACTGTTAACCCGTTTTTGTATCAATTGATCACTAATTATGGTAATTGTGTTTACATTACAGTCATCTGAAGAGCGGTATGAGAGCATCAATGCCGGCTGTTTTATGCTGTATTTCAGATACGCCGAGAAAACGCATTGCATTGATGCCACGGCACCGACGGGTCGTTTCGGTCGACTCGTGAACCACTCCCGACTGAAGCCTAACACTAAACCAGAGGTGTTTGTGTTCGAGAGTCGGCCGCACGTAGTGTTGACGGCGTTGAAAGATATAGCGGTCGGCGAAGAGATTACCTACGATTACGGCGATACCGATCCGGCGGTTCTCCTGGCGTTCCCATGGCTGCAGAACTCATAATACATTTCATTCAATATTTATTGCATTCAATAATCGCTTGTTTTTTTTATTAATATTCTCTACTTTATTGTCATTTTAAATCATTTTAATAATTGATTGTTAGTTCAATTCGTAACGAATAAAACCAATTGAGTGCTAATTTTCACCACAAAACGCATTTGTCTTTCCTATTCATTCTGGACTCAGGACTGCATTTGTAAGCGTCTGAAAAGGGTTTAAAATTGGACACAGGTACATTCACTCGGTATTTGCCCGGACTGTGCGGGTTGTACTCAATCTGGGTCTTTAGGGCCTCTGGTCTCCATAGACTGCACCAAACCTACAGTTATTGCGAAACAAACAAAACAATATTCAATTACAAAACTTTAAAAGCACTCAAAACAGTGACTGAAAACACTTTGTCATACATTAGCGTGAGATAAGAAATACAACTGTTGTCCCGTGTATTCAGTCACGTGTGGCAGCCGTTGGGGTTCGCCGTGTTTTTTGACGTACGCTTCAAACGCCCGGTAAGACTCACGCATACCTCCATTGTCGGCGATATTCTCACCCAAAGTATTTTTACCATTTAACTAATTTTAATACATTTAAAACAATTATGATTAATTAAATATCACACACAATAAACATTATGGTAAAACTGACGTGCATTTGCACTTCGGGCACGTATTCAGCGGAATATTCTTTGACAAAACAGTCGGCCTTTTGATCAAATTTTTTATGAATCGCTTGTGTCCACCAATTCTTTAGATTTCCCTCCGCATCGAATTGACTGCCTTTAGATCACAAAACAAAAATCATTTCAAACAATCAATTGATCCGTTCGTTGATCTCAATCAACAATCCATACCCTCGTCATCGAAGCCGTGGGTCATCTCGTGTCCGATTACCTGTTGTTTGCATATAAATTATACACATTTAGTAGATATACAATAGATGTGGAAATATAATACCAATCCTATGGCTCCGTAGTTAAGTACAGCTGGTCTTTGGCTGTCGAAGAATGGGGTCTTGAGAATACCGGCCGGAATTGCTGGGAAATAATCATGTTAATTAATAAAGACAATTAGATGATGGTCATGTGCTAATTACTAATTGAATTTTGTGTGGGCTCGTACGCGGCGTTCACCATAGCGGGAGGCATTGGCCAACTGTACGCAAATTATTACAATTAATATTTAATTAATTTAATAAATGTCTCAAACCTTAAGCTTAGATCAACTTTTTCTCGCAGCGCTTTAAAAGCCCTAAAACCTGAATTGAATTGTAAGTTAAGAAAGCCTTCAAACGATTTCTTTTTGTCCACTTTTTCTTTCTGTAAAAATTAGCACAAATTCATTACAAAATTACTTGTTTTAAATAAAATATTATTTGTTAACCAGATTATAATAGTTATCCAGATCTTCATTTTTGAGCAGCCAATCAGGATATCCGACGTTTTGCTTAATTGCATTCAATTTAAATAATGATTTATTTTTGGTACTTTCGTCCAACCAATCACTCTCTTTAATCAACTCGTTGTACGAGTCCTTTATATCACTGATAATATTCGCGGCCTAATTAACACACAATTCATTACAAATATTATCATTAAAATGTGCTAAACATATGAGCATATGGTAAAAATTATGTAACAATTAATTTACCTCTTGTTTATCCTTTTGTGAGAAATTCTTGTCGATATAAAGACGACTCACAGCGTATGAAATGGTAGACAACAAGTTATTCACACAATTCTCCCACAATTCCGACTCTTTTTGCACACCAGAGACCACTTTATCGAAGTTAAAGACAGTGTCTCTGAATTGTTTGGTGGTATACGAGCCCAAACTCATCACTGCCATCCATCCCAAGTAATTGGACACAACTCGCGAGGGAACCACTGATAACAGCTCTGTTACGCCCTTATAATACTCGATGTCTTGGATTATTACCAATTCATCGCTTTTTACACGTATTGTTGATCCAAATTGTGTGAAGATATCGTTTGTTAACTTAAGCCAATCGACTCTATTATCAGTCAATTTGTTGAACGCCTCGAAAGACATTCTGTTATACCAAACACTGGAGTCTCTCTTCTTCTCTTGAGGTAACGATAACTGAAATTCAATTCAAAATTAATTAAATATTTAATACCATTTTATATAAATAGTTATGAAATAAATATATTATACTTTCGCCAATTTTGATTCAAAAGTCAATATATCTTCAATGTCTTGATGTGTTTGAGTGTCGTCTTTAGCCCCCAATAGTACAGCCGATTGAAGAATGTATTTCTTATAGGCGTTCACAACATCGGGATATGCGGTCGTATTCACCAATTGATTTCTGCCCAAACCAAAGCCCGAGGCATCAAACTATTCATTTAATAACAACAATATTATACAGTATATACAGTACAATCACATTATACGCAAAAAAAACAATTTAAATATTGTGCTGCACTTACATAAACCCTACGGACAGTTGTTTCATTAGCGTCGGGCTGTACTGAGACCGAAAAAATGGTCGACAAACCAAACTTTGCCACCTGTTTGGCCAAAGAGTCTTTCCAATCGCTGGGAGGAGCCGTCTGACCAGTTATAGGCCAACCGCCCACTGAATTCAGCGCCGATACCAACGGTGCCACTCCTCTCGCCGTAAGTGTTACTACAAAATCACGTATTAATTAAAACCTAATCTACTATTAAATGTCAATAATTGTATGCAAACCGTCATCAATGCAGGCCTTATACAGATCTGAGGCATAGATAACGGCATTTGAGTCGGTTTTTGACGGCTCTTTGCTCAGCGATTCCTTAACACTCTTATGGAGATTATCGTCGAGTATATCAAAGCTTATATACGAAGACTTGTCGGCGGGTATGGTATGCGATGCCTCCCAACCCCCGCACGCGAACTCAAAGAAGTCAGTGCACGGGTCCACCGATTGGTTGAGGTTTGCAAACAGTATCTTTCCCGCGGCCTCACACGCGGCTGTCGTACAGATGTCCGGCTCCTGCACTACAGATGCACTCTCTGTAGTCAAAACCACAGCCAACGCAATGGTTAACCCGATTATAACTCTGGAAATTAATTAATAAATTAACAGTTAATTAAAAGTTTATAAATAAAATTTAGTTAATTATTTATTTAATAGGAATCTATACCTCATTATTGCTGAGACTTATTCTATAATTTCAATGACTTCAGTGAAGTTTGAATGTCAACTGAAACTCCGGTTAAAACTGATGTGAAATTTATTGACGATTAGATTTTATATACGAAAACACTTTAAGTGAACAAATGTTTGTTCAGACAATTGAAAGGCATATCATTTTAATAACAATTCTTGAGATTATTCTGTGCGGTTGGCACATATTTCAACTCTCTCTCTCTCTCTCTCTCTCTCTCTCTCTAAACACACAACTTATTCAATAAATTGATAATTCATTTCAAAACTCAATTCATTCATTTAAAACACAGTTATAATTTAAAACGTGTTAAAAAGCAAAATATAAATCTTTAGAATAAATGTATAAATATTTAGAAACAAATAAACTTATATTTGTTATAAAATGTGTTAAGTTTGTGAATACGAGTGAAAAACACAAACCCATTAAAGTCATCAAAGAATTGATCATTTTATCAAAAAATAAATAAATATTAACACAAAAAATACGTTAAAAAATATTAAATATGATTTTGTGAAATGAGGATAAAATATATCGCTTCCCATCCTATGCTCATAACGAGTCTCTCACAGCACTTGTACTCATAGATTGACAGCACATACCTATGAGTTACCTGTGCTTTGACTACCTGTCCCTCGCATTCATACGCTAACACCGATAGTGTATGTATCGCATGGTTTGCATCACATAATATGGATAGTAGTGAACGTAATTGAATATTAATGCTAACTTAGATAAATGTTTATCTAAATAACTCATCTATGCCTTTTTTCAATTCGTTAAAAAATTCATATGAAATATTCGTAAAAGTTTTAATTGAAAAACAGTTTTGCTTAAGACTCAAACTCACACACAAGTAGTGCTTATTTTTTTGTGTGTTTTTGTGTTATAGTATTATTCCTGTGTTAAATGTATTGTGTGTTTGTGTTTTAAAAAATTAAACTTGTTTATTTTTTAAAGAAATTATTTGTTTTAATTGTTTTATGCTCTCTAATCGTGGTCGCAGTGTCTTCCCTATTGTCTAATAATTAGTTTTATAACTTTTGTTTAATTTGTTTTATTGCTTTTTTAGCATATATTCAATGTTTGAATTGCTGTGAAAATTCATACTAATCGTCCAAATATGACAAACAATAGTAATATCAATAACAATAATAACGATGAGCCGATTGTGGGCTCCGGAGGTCAACACCAGACTATGGCCGACAAATGTGAGACAAATACAGACAAAACGGGCGCCAATTTTATCAACAGTAGCGGCGATTTAAGTGTTGACATCAACGACAGCACACATACGGCCGCCGATGAGATACCCGAAGAGGTGTGGGAACAGGAGGACTGTGGCGGGGCTGAGGAACCCAACGATAAATTACGGTCGGGCGGTGATTGTGCCGTCGATTTACAACCCAGAGTCTCGTCACCGGCGGTCACTGCGGGCCCGGAATCGGGCGACTATAACAAGTGCCACAAGAATCCCAAATCGTTTACCCTGTGCTTCGGGTATAAACCGTCGCAATTCAAATGGCTAAACATCGGCTGGTTAATCATGATACATTTGGTGGCCGTATACGCGTACGGTTACGCCCTATGGCTACCGATGAACATGTTTACCGTCATTTGGACGGTGGTGTTGGCGTGTGGGTCGGGTTTTGGTGCGTCCGCCGGTTCGCACCGGCTGTGGGCTCACCGGGCGTTCAAAGCTCGTTGGC